TCAGAAAATCTTCACATTTGCTGATGCAGTTTGTAGTCTCTGACCAATGCTAACTCTAAGTTGTGGCTGCTAGGGTAAGAACAAGACTGGTTTATCTACAATATTTAACAATTAATCCTTTGTCAATGCAGTCATAAAAGCATCTTTTTTATAAAGGTTTAGGTCAAAGGAATGTGTGCAGCAATGTGATTAATGTCTTTACTCTTTCATGTTATTGTATGAAATGCTTGTTACTGTTCCAGTCACTGTTAGTTTTTAGTATTTTGGTAGATGTATCACATGGTAGCTGTGATCGCTATCTTTCTTATTCAGAAAAAGCTGTTGGAAATGTACTTAAGATGTCTTAAGATACAGAGATTATGAGCCAGTCTTATTTTTGTCTCTATTTCTCTCTCTCTCACTCCTCCTCCGCCAATCTTTCTGCCTCAGTCTTTGATAGAGGCTCATGACAAAGTGGCTGCAAAGTGCTATGAAATGCCCCATGCTGCGGTGAACAGCGATGCCTTGTTGACCAGTTCACTCATGCCAGCTGATGCTGTCAGGATGATTGGCATCCAGAAGAAAGCTGGGGAACCACTGGTAAGTCTGCCAGGCATGTATATCAACCGCAGCTCTACAGACGAAACGTGTAATGCTCCTGTTAGGCTTTAAAGTTCTTTACACGTCCTCTTTTATTGACCAGCTGTGAGAATAGTGACTCACTTTCACATAGTACCTCAACACGAGTGAGTTCTTTCACAGCAACCACACTGACCAACCCATGAAACAGGCCTCTACGATTTATGAAGTGCGGATGTACGATACCAAATGACTGCTACTCTCTTTCAGGGGGTGACGTTCCGTGTGGAGCGAGGAGAGATGGTGATCGCACGGATCCTGCACGGCAGCTCGATTGACAGGCAGGGCATGTTGCACACCGGGGACATAATCCGCGAGGTGAACGGTCGTGAGGTCGGCAGCAACCCCCATGAACTCCAGGAGCTGCTGAGGGACTGCAGTGGGAGCATCACACTCAAGGTCCTGCCAAGCTACAAAGACACACCAGCACTGCCACAGGTGAGGAAGAGAGAGGCTGTATATTATATTTCCTGTCTAGGTTTTTTATTTGTGGGGAAAAAAATATTACTGACGCACTGGAGAATACATGCAAAATAAGTTTATTTTCAATATTTCTTGGTGTGCTCATCTAACATTTCTTGAAATCAGTTCTGTAAATGTACAGGGATACAGCAGTGGTGATGGGTATGTGGTGGTGTATTGGAGGCTGTTCAGGAGTTGTACTGTACCTGTCAGGGATTGGGTGAGAGCTGCCTGACCTGGCCAATCTTAGAATGCCAGGCTTCTGAAAATTGAGCCCTCAGAAAGTCTATTAATAACACACCACACACTATCTGGGACATACCCCACTCTATTCACTGTAGCCCCCCCCCCCTCTCCTTCTTACAGTAACAGGCACACACAGCAGCTGACACTGAGGAGCAGTATGTAGGGTTATGTCAGACACTGACCTTTGTGCCCAGGAGGATCAGATGATCTCATGCTACTGTTTGCTTATGTATCTGTTGGGTTTCAGTCATGGTAAGAGTTTTGACTTGTGAATTATGCCCTCAGAGTGGGAAAAAGGTACTTATGTGATTTATCTGCCCGCAACTCTATTTTGAAAGTTGTTGTTTTTGTTAGAAATCTTCCCGACTGCTCAGGCCGATCTCATGAGTGAATCTTTAAAAGTTGCTTCTGGTCCATGCCCATCCACCTCATTCAGCCTGCTGTCCTTAGAGCACTGACAGCAAGAACAATGTACAAATGCAGAACAGACAATTAAAATAGTGGGAAAGAGTTGTTAAAGTATCATCCAACATGGTGCAATAAAATTTTTTTTAAAAAAGTATCAGAATATTCTTGGCACTTATGAAAGGGAACACAAGCAACTTCCTTTGAACTACTTAATCAAACATGGGTGTATGGCAAAAAAAAGAAAGTGGACGTGCAATGACGAAGAGTCATCGGATATATTCATTTGTTCTACAGCCATGTAACTGATGATAAAATGTTTCATTAATATTGTCAAGAAAATGTGACAATATTACAGTATCTTAGTGTACATCTGAGTAGGGATTTAAGGTATGGCTCAATCCTGTTGTATTTGCTCTTAGTGTAATTTAACCGTCTCATGTATTGTTCACACCCCAAACTGTAGGTTTATCTGAAGCCACACTTCAACTATAACCCGACCACAGACAACCTGATCCCCTGTAAAGAGGCTGGTCTCGCCTTCATCAAGGGAGACATTCTCCATGTAGTAAACAAGGAGGACCCCAACTGGTGGCAGGTGAGCAGGCACACATAGCTCTGTGATTGTGAACCACAGTGCTGCTTTGACTGGAGCTGCATGGCTAATTGGGAGTTCTGGTACAAATATTGCCTGTTGGAAGTTGCAAGAGGCAGCTAAAGATGAGGAGGAAGATGTTTATGACTGATACCTGTGCATGGTATTTGATTTGTATGTGAAATCTCTCGTCTCTCAACTGTTTTGATTTCCATTCAGGCACGCAAAGTTGTTGGTGGAGCAACTGGCCTCATCCCCAGTCAGTTCCTGGAGGAGAAGAGGAAAGCTTTTGTGAGAAGAGACTGGGACATTTCTGGTACTGGTCAGTACAAGTGGTGTTCTGTCTTTCACACCATGATAATCAATTACTCTTGTTTATTTTATCATGATAGCAAACATCTCTTGGCTTTAGCACCACCTTGTGGTGACCTGACTCTCTCTGTATGTGGCTCAGGGATGCTCTGTGGAACTCGAACTGCAAAGAAAAAGAAGAAAAAAATGATGTACCTCACTGCCAAGAATGCTGGTGTGTATCACTACTAGTTCTCATTTTCCTACATACAAGCGATCTTAACAATGAGGAATCTTAAGTGCATAGATGGTAATACAGTACTAATTCAGCCTGTGTATTGCCTTGAACAGAGTTTGACCGTTTTGAACTGCAAATCTATGAGGAGGTAGCAAAGATGCCACCGTTCCAGAGGAAAACGCTTGTCTTGATTGGAGCCCAGGGAGTTGGCAGGCGGAGCCTAAAGAACAGACTTATTGTCCTGAATCCTCTGAGATACGGAACCACTGTACCCTGTGAGTGTGTGAAACAGACAGTTGAGGCAATTAAATTGTCTTTACTTGAAGATTTCCTGCCAGGGTACATGTCACACCTTTCCTCACCTTTTACCTTCAGTCACATCAAGGCGTCCAAGAGAAGAGGAGAAAGATGGCCAGAACTACTGCTTTGTAACACGGGAAGAGATGGAGAAGGACATCAAGGAGAGCCGTTACCTGGAGCACGGCGAGTACGATGGCAACCTTTATGGCACCAAGATTGACTCGATCCACGAAGTGGTGGATATGGGTCGTACCTGCATCCTAGACGTCAACCCTCAGGTTAATTTAAGGCACGAACGCTCAGTGTGTAGATGTTTTCTCCCAAAGCTTTGGTTGTGACATTCTGTTTTTTGCTCAGGCCCTGAAAGTGTTGAAGACTGCTGAGTTTATACCATTTGTGGTGTTTATTGCTGCTCCTGAGCTGGACACACTAAGAGCTATGCACAAAGCTGTAGTAGATGCTGGACTTACTACCAAACTACTCACAGTAAGTTTTGAGTGGATTTAAGGTTGTCTAAATTCTAATAAATATTAATGGGAGTTTCAGTAGTCATTACTCATGAATGGTTGTTGCCTTTGTCATTGTAATGGGCTGAATCTCTTTCTGCACTAGGAGAACGATTTGAAGAAGACTGTGGACGAAAGTGCAAGGATCCGGCGGGCATACAGCCACTACTTTGACCTGACTATTGTCAATGACAATCTGGACAAGGCCTTTGACAAGCTGCAAGAGGCGGTAGAGCGATTATTCATAGAGCCACAGTGGGTTCCAGTCAGCTGGGTCTACTGATGCTCTACCCCCCGCTGGATGGATGAGGCTGTTGGAGCTTCTAGGCCTGGGACGAAAGGGGACACAACCTGGTACTGCACACACAGACAAAGTATTGGACATAAGCCCTGTGTGAATTTGGGTCTTGCACAAAGCATCAGAGTCACCTTGATCTGAATTGCCAGATTCCTTAATAGCACACTATGCAACTCACAACACACAGGAAGTGTACTTATTGGCAAAATATTTTTTAAAGAACACTTTCTATTCAAATGAATTGGAAGAAATTACTGGCCTGTGTGTCAGCATGTTTTAAAAGCAAAAGCAGTTTTTGCCATGTCCATGTTATTTTAATTTTACATCTGTATGTAAGATAGCTAAAGTGTATTTATTCTGCAAATATGAGGAGGGCTTGCTCATCGAAAAGGACGATACCTCAGTGTTACAGTTTACAGTGCTTATGCCTCCAGTACGTCATCTCATTTGTCACTACAAACCTGTCGTCATTCATGTAGAATAGTGTCATATTTTTGAGACCTTGTGAAGGCTTCTTCTAGGCCCTGGCCTCTTTGCGGTTCAACCTTAATAAAAGGAACATGTCATGCCAGTCACTGTTTGATGTTGTACAGGAAGAAAAGTAATACTGTAGTGTTTACCCATTATCTCTCTTTCACTCAAGCACAACAGACATTAATTATGTTGATTGTTTGTCAGACATTTGGATCATGTATGTGTTTTGGACTGTTAGACCAGTTGACGGTGCTGTGTTTGTTTGTCTGGAAGAAGAACTTTCCACAGCAGGGTACTGCATCTCAGTGAACCATCCCTTTTGATGTGATATTACTAAAAACTTAACTGTTTTAAATAAAATTCATATTTACTTATAAAAAGGTATATTTTACAAGATTTCAGATGTATTTTCAGATGTAAAATAAATAACTGGTGTTTTCTAATGATCTGCTTTGGTTTTGCTTTGTCCTTTCGGGACATTTACTCAGCAAACATGCTGTGTGGAGTATGTGTTAGCAAGCAGGTAGAGAAAGAAATAGTTCATGCCGTCATATTAAGGTCTTTTTTTGCACCATAGAGATAAACATAAAAGAAAGATACAGATAGAAGGTATCAAGTTGAAACAACTTCCAAGATCATTAACTATGTTTAAAACCTGAAATAACACATTAAGACATGTGCAATCAGACTGGATGAAAAATTTAAATAGTCATAAAACAATATGCTCAAGTGGTCCAGAATGAGGTTTGTAGTTGGCACATTAAAAAAAAACAGTCGAAGATTCATGTCTCTGGAGCACAGTAGTTTTGTGTAGATGTGTCACAAAATTTCCACAACTCATGAATATTTGATCTAACAATACTTAACAGAGGAAAATAAAGAGGTGAAAAAGTAATATAAACAATCAAAAGCCACAAAGACTGAAGTGCATAGATATCCTATAGCTTAAGACATCACATTAGACCCTCCTTAAAATAATTAGTATTTACCTTACATTATGCCACAGCCAGTGAGAACTTCAAGGGTGTTGTCCTTTGCTTACTGAATAATCTAAAAGTTGATTAATTTACAACTTGATCATTTAATGTTCTTTTTCTATAAAATCCAAAATCAGTGAAAAATGCCCCCCCGAGCTTCAAATGCTTGTTTTGTCCAACAAAGTCCAAAATCCATGACCTAAACTAATTGCTTATTAAAATCTTTGATGACATTGATCAATGATTGTCATTTCACTGACTAAGGCATTAATTGACTTATTGCTTCTACATTAGTAAATCTATGTAATTACCTTACAGTAAAATGCCATAGTGTTTTAAAGGGCATTCCACCGCACCAAAAAGAATAAAAAACACTTATCTGATGAATAACACTAAATATGTATATGATCCCCTTCACTGCATTCCAGTGTGGTATTTCAAGTTTCTGGTTGATATAAAGGCATCTTCGGTTCAAACACAGGGGGCTAATGAGGCAAGACCCCTGACAGCGATACACAGCACCAGAGGAAGGTTTCCTGGCCCTTGGTTTATTTCTGCCCTCACTGTGTCCCCGTCTCTCTTCAGGGACACATTAGAGGAGGCAAACAGATGTTCAGCATTTTCATAGATGTCCCCCGTCAGTGCAGTTAGTCTTGCACTGCTCAGAGGACACTTTCCATTTCCTGATATGCTCTGCACCTGGAACGGGTGTGAGAGACAGTTAACAGGCAGCTCAATCACTGATGCATCATTTGAAAGAAAAAAAACCCCAAAACAAACAACTCCTTTTGTGAAAACTGACTTTACTAACCAATAGCTCCATTGTCTGTAAGACTGTGTGGCTGCAGCACATTCCCAAGACATCAAGACAATCATTGGTCATCTCTGAAAGACAAAGACCCAGACACAGGATGAAAACAGAACTTAAGGAAATTAGGTTTTCAGGACATTCTGCACGCAGTGGGAACTCTACAATTCTACATGCTTCTCCTCCTGAGCTTAAAATGATGATTATTTTTACAGACTGAGGACTTTTCACTTAAGCAATGGGCAAAGTAATGGATGCTGCACAGAGCACAGCTTTTCTCACCATCCAAGGCACTGCTAATGAGGTGAATAGCTGTGAGGACTGATGTGGACCGGCCTCTCTGAGCTGACTCCACTTGACCAGACAGCTCCACAAGCTCCAGAATGGCTTGGATATTCTGTTTTTGAGACACTGTCGTTGTAACATCAACCAAGGCAGGAGACTTATCTAGGCTCATCTGGTCCAGCTGAGACAGAGGAAGACACCCACATTCAAAAGTCAGAGCAACAGAAGTTCACGAGTCCTAACTCCACATTATTATAGTGCATCTATGCTGCCAAGACCTCTCTCTGCCCCACTTACCATATCCTGAAGTGCACTGACGGCTGCTCTGTCCTGCATAATGTTTGTGAATTGCTGGAGCAGAGAGGACCTTGTGGTTGCAGGAAGAGATGACAGCAACTGGAAATGATCATTAAGTTGCTCCAGGTCTGCCCATGGAAGGAAAAAAACATTATCATTCCCTCCAAAGACAAAATGTGTGTATCAGCCTGTCACTAAAACCTAAGCTTGAACCAGACATGAGAAAAAATAAAGAAAATAAAAAAGTAAACTGCACAATATGAACTAACCACATAGATTCTTGGATTTGAAATAATCGGGTCAAAGCACATGTTTACAAACATTATCACACCATTCTGATAAGACAGAATGGGGGCCTCCACCCTCTTTAGGTCCTTTGTGACCTTGCACACATTTACTGAATACGTCATCATCTGCAACAATCATCTGTAGTCACATGTTTCATAGCTACAGAAAGAAAACAATAATTTACCTTGTCGAAGGCAGCTATTTTCAGAATCGTGTGCAAGAACACCACTGTCTACTTCAAAACCTCCAGTGGTGTCTGACATCAGACACAACTCTGAGGAAAATACAGCTGGTTACTTTTCAAATACTCAGATATTTTAATAGTTTAATCATTTGTTATGGTCAAATCATTGGAATTATTTAATGATTTCTCACCATAGCATCCATCCTGTTTGATCTCTAGCTCTATGAGGGAATAGGCAATGGTAGTATTGATGGGAATTTCCATGGTAACATTACTGTCTATACTCAGGCTCCCATTCTCTTTCAATGAAACCTGCAGAAAGAACAATACAGCAGATATTTGAGACCAAACCTACAAATTCCAGCACAAGTTGGTCTGTTTTAAAGAAAATATCAACTTTAAAACACCAACCGCTGCTGAGTAACAGCTGGTGGGAAAGCAATTGCACAGTTAAGGACCTGTTTGGAGGTGTATCACATGTCATGTGGAATTTAATTTACAAAACCTTTTCATCTATCTACTGTATCTCAGACATGAGCAGCAAATGCCCAGTTTTCAGTCTGCGTCCCTCTAGACTGAACATTTTGCAACAACAATTCACAATTACAAAATTCAGCATAGGTGGCACAAGTATTTAACTTTAGCTCCACCTACTTCTGTTGCAGGCAGAACTGAAATCTCATTCTGGGCAAAGTGGGATAGCAAGAACATAAACTATCAAACTATATTGAGGTAATGTAGGCAGAACAAAAAAAGGGGAAATTATTTCATTACTAATAATTCGTCAAATATCACATAACAGCAAGAGGCTGAATTCTCATACAGATTGGAAATGGAAAAGACTAAATTCTTTCTGATAAAAGAACATTTTCTGTTGTAAAATTAACTCTTACACTGCAAATCACAAAGATGTAAACTATCATGACAATGCGTGTTTCAGTGCTACTACTCTACCTTAGGGCTCTTGGGCCCGCAGAGGCTCAGTCCTCCTCCACACTGTCCACCCTGCTGCACCTCCTCTATGACCGAACAGGGAATAGTGGTCACAATTCGCTCCTTCACAATCCCAAATACCAGCCTGTGCTTCTCCTTTGTCTGCTGGATCAGACAGTGAGACATGTCCAGCACCCTGAGACATTGAATTTACAAAAACAGTGTTACATTTAACCAGGAAAATTCTTGGGAAGTTTCAGCTGAGCCTTGTGTTTTGTGTGCAACTTTATGAGTGGTCAAAGATCACTTCTGCTGTTTGCATATCTTTTACAGACTGAATACCAGATGATGTTTCTGTCTAAATCCTGTTTAAAACAGACTGTACAGGACAGGAAAGTGGATACAGGTGGGGAACTAACCTGCTTTTAGAGTCTTTCAGCAACTTCTGCACATTCACTTCCTCTTTCTTCAAACTACCAAAGGATGACTGGAGTTTGGAAGAGTCTTTACCCTCCAGGCTCACATTGGAGTGGACAAAATTTGCATCCATAGCTCCCTGAATGTTGTCACCATATGTCCCTTTATATTTGATGAAGTCTGTCTCTTTGGTATCTGTGGACAGGGACAAGTTTTCTGTGATCTTGGAAGAATAAATTAGTTGTAATACTGCAGATATTTAGTAAAAAACATTAAAGCAAATGAATATACTAGTACAGAGATCTTTGGTGTCTACCTGGCTCTATAGGGGTATCTCCTGCTAGTATATCATTGAAGTGAAAATCAGTGGGAAGATACTTGGACTTCTGCCAGAACCAGAAACGCTTGCGCTTCACCACTAGTGTCAGGACATCTATAGTGTCATTCAGGCTGGACACTGGGATCAGCACACCTCCATAATCCACTTCCTCCACAAAGTTTCTGGTGGCTGTGGCAAACATCTCCCAGCTGGATCAAACCTGAGGGTGATAATAAAGCCAGGTTTAAATAATAATAATAATGATAATAATAACAACAATAATAAAAAAAAACAACACAAAAAAATAAAGACTTGTATAGTAATCCGTCTAGAGATTAAAGTACCACTCCTCATCAGGCTAATAACTGACTTCAAATTACAATCTACCTACCTACCAACAATCATTTCACCATTCCTTCCTTTTCTTTTCATTCTTAAAAAACCTCCACAACATTTATACAATTAATACTTCTTCCATTAACTGTACTTGTACAGCATATCAAGCAAAACAAAGCTTAAAGAAACATGTTATTTGCACGTACATTTCTGCACACTGGAACAGCGGCTAACATGCTAGTAGCATCAGCAAACCCATCAGTCCTAACTTTTGTTCACCTGCTCGAACACAGCAAAACAGCACTGAGTGAAACAAATGCAAAAGCTGTGAGTATTACCGCTTTCCAGAAGCCCTTGTTTCAATGAAGACCCAGACGAGAAGCTTTGCTTTGTGGCCAGACATTCAACACAGTCAACGCTGCCCAGCCTCGGTGAGGCTTCCTCTGTTCTGTACAATAGACGCCCCGCCTCCTCCAAAGGGAGCTGTGGGTGTGTTACTGAAGATACTGTCAGAACATATCAATAACACATCAATAAGTATTTATCTGCCTTCCCTCCAAAACTAAAACATGTACGTATTAGTAAGAGACTGAAAAATAAAAGACGAGCAGATTTGGAGATGTGAGCTTATTTTTTTTTCTCTTTTAGGACTTTTCATTTACTACAATGCTTTGTCAAAAGTTTAAGTCAGACAGCTGGGCTCCTTGAAAGTTTTTGTAATTGTCCGTTCAACCAGTTGGTCCACAACATCACTGCTGAGTTCACTAATGAATTTGCACTGTATGTACAGTATGTACCATTGGTGGCACATTGGTGGCTATTTGTTGCCATCTAGTGGCTGTTTCAGGTTGACCAGACCATAGACTGTGTTCATTAACAAAAAATAGTTAATTGGCATAAAAAAGTCAGTTAGAGTAGCCAATAACTTAATGTGCATGTCTTTGGACAGTCGGAGGAAGCCAGAGTACCCGGAGAGAATCCACTCAGGGACAGGGAGAGCATACAGGATTTAATGCCTTATTATACGTTGACATTTTTATACCTTACTATACTATGACTTTTTATGCCTTACTGTACTATGACTTTTTTTTAATTACTATTCTATGACATTCTATGCTTTACTGTACTATGATATATTTATGACTTACTATACAATGACTTTTTTCATATCTTACTATACAATGATTTTTTTTGTTACTTACTATACAATGACATTTTATGCCTTACTGTTCTATGACTTATTTACGTCTTAGTATACTATGACGTTTTCATGCCTGACTATACCATGATTTTTTCTGCATTACTATACTATTAATTTCTATGGGTTGCTATACTATGACCTTTTTATGAAAACACATACTATAATTCTTTATATCTTACCATACGATGACCTTTTTTTGACTTACTATACTATGAAATTTTATGCCTTACTGTACTATGACATATTTACGACTTTGTTGAAGTTTTCAAGATACCTTAATGCTTTATTATACTATGACGTTTTTATGCCATATAGTATAGTACTTTTTTGTGACTTACTATACTAAGACCTTTCTGTGACTTACTAGAATGTGACTTTTTGCTTACTATATTATGACCCTTTTATGACTTTTAATGCCTTACTAGACTATGTTGTTTTTATTACTTTTAATAACTTACTATGCTATAACCTTTTTATGCCTTACTATACTGTGACATCGTTAATTGGTTAGTCTAATTCTTCACTGTGGTTTCTTTATACCCTACCATGATATAACTTTTCATGATGCATTTTGACGTATTTTGACGTTTTTATGCCTTTGTGTGAAATTATGTATTTATTACTTTTTATGCCTTACTATACTATGACGTTTTTTGCATTTTTATGCCTTGCTATACAATGAGGTTTTGTGCCATTTTCATGCCTTATTATATTATGATGTTTTTTTCCATTTTTATGCCTTATTATACCATGACGTTTTATGACGTTTTATTGCCTTACTATACTATGATGTTTCTTAATGTTTTCATGCCTTTCTATACTATGACGTTCTTTTGCATTTTTATACCTTACTTTATACTATGCCATTTTTATGCCTTATTATATAATGATATTTTTAGGACTGTTTTATGCCTAAGTATACTATGACGTTTTTTGACTTTTTTATGCTGTGACGTTCTTTTTGCAATTATGACGTTTTTTTTTTTTTTTTTACATTTTCATGCTTTACTATGGTTTTGTGCCATTTTCATGCCTTACTATATTGTGACATTTTCTTGCATTTTCATGCCTTGCTATAGGATGACGTTTTATGGTGTTTTAATGCCTTACTATACAATATAATTTTTATGCCTTATTATACTATGCTATTTTTAGGACTTTTTATACCATGCAATACTATGACATTTTTTGACATTTTTATGCTATGACATTTTTTTTGCATTTATATTCCTTACTATCCAATACTATGACGTTTTTTGCATTTTTATGCCTTGCTATACAATGAGGTTTTTATATCTTTTTGTACAATTAGTTATACGGTGGCATGATGGTGTAATGGTTAGAAGAGGTGCTTCACCGTGACAGTCATGGGTTTGAAACGCAGGCCTGGCAACTTATAATGTGAAGATTGCATGTTCTCTTGCAATGTAAAGACATGCACATTGAGTTAATTGGTTAGTCGAATGCTTCGATATACTTTGGCTTTTTTATATATATAAACGTTTTTTGAGGTTTGTGTGCCTTACTACACAATGATGTTTTTATGAAATTTTATGCCTTACTATACTATGACGTTCGTATGCCATACTATACCATGACGTTTCCATGACATTTCATGCCATAATAAAAAATGCCATAATTTTTGGATTACTATACTGACGTTTTTATGAAATTTTATGCCTTACTATACTATGACATTCTTATGCCTTACTATACTATGCTGTTTCCATGACATTTACTGCCATACTATGTCATTCATTCATTTTCAAGAAATTTTATGCCTTACTATACTATGACGTTTTTGATGTTTT